CCCCCAGGGCACCCTGGCGTGGCTGTGGGAGCCATGGGTAACTCTCCCTGCTCAACAGGCAACTGGGCTTTCCTGGGAAGCCTGGAGCGTGCACCTGCTGGCCTGTTACTTATCCTGACCCCTCTGCAGGGCATGATCTACATGTCTGTCCAAGCTTAGGGTGAGAGTTCTCCAGGATGTGGGAAGTGCCTACCTGCTAACGAGCACAATGTCAAATGAATTCTAGTAACACTGGGCGACATAGAAGAAAAGCAGCAATTTCCTCACATCGTCTTTAATATTTTTCTTGGACATATTCTTCTTCTGGCATACCTCTAAATTATAGCATCTGTAAGGCTAACAAAAAAAAGTAAAACAAAAAAAAAGTAGAAGCAGAAACAAGACAGGGTGAGAAATACATCCTCATATGTAGTTTACAAACATGACTTTTACACAGTTTCAGAGACTGTAAAACTGGCAACTTCAGTTGAGCACTGAAGGGCTGAAACATGGGTTTCAGGGCGTGGGGTGGCAAAGAGTTCATATTAACTATTCTGTTATTACTCCTGCAGGCTGTATTTACAGGGGAGGATATTACTCGTTACAGGAGTCCCAGGTGACAGAAGAGTCTTGCTCATCAAGGTAATAAACTATATTGCTAATTTACAGGTAGTGTTTTGCTGACCAGTACAGGTACAGATGGTCTTGCTTTCAGAGCAGTGCTGGGATGTATTTTCATTGCAACACATGAAGCAAAATAGATGAGCCTTATCTTTTGTCTTACACCTCAGCGTGAGTGACAGTGCAAAATTAATTACTTCTGTAAATTACTGCTTTAGGGACTATTGCCTTTGCATGTGTAAAAATTCTGAAATTATTCTTTACCAAGTTTTAAATTAATTGCTTCATTAAGCTCCAAGTTTGTAAAATACATTTGTTGCAAGTTCTCTGTTTGCCAAGCAGGGTGTTTTATTTCCTTTCTTAAACCCCATGGCTTGACATCATGGAAATAAATGGATAGAGAGGAGCAAAACCAAGAAGGAAATACCGAGTTATCAGGTATAGCCAACATCTGTGCTTTAAAGCTACACGACACTTCATGAACAACACTTATATTATGGACGTGAGTGAGTCATAACCTCCCAGATCTGTGGTTGCCAACGGTTACTGCTTGGAGGAAAACAGTTAAAATTCCCCACACCAGCATTGTTGTGACACTGTCAGGTACCAACAGAAAACCTGCTCTTCCCATCAGTTTTAGTTCAATCTTCTACATTTGAGAAAACTAAATCTGTCACATCGTCAGAGTTCCTGGCTGCGCTGGCATCGCAAAGGACTGGTTTGAAGATGTACAACGGTGGTGATGGGGATGAGACTGAAACGGTTTTGATCCTGTTTTTCTACAAATCACTTTGACAAAGACTGAGAAAAGTAAAGTGCAACTGTACTTCAAATTACTGGAAAGCAGATGTATTTGTGCCAAACCCAACTGTTTACTTCAACTTAAGCTTACACTTTGATTTATAAATCAATCAATCAGTCTTTGCTACCTTCACACACTGTCTATTTTGCCTAGCATGAAGAGCCACATTAATATTTATGCTGCTATAATTTGTATTCTTACAGATTTACATCACTAACTCCAAGTCCTGCAAAATTTTTAGCAGTAATTTAGTTACAGTCACACAACTAACCCAACAAAAAGCAAATAACCAATAGATTTAATGAGGGTTTTTTTTTTTTTAAATTGACCTCTGCAAGGTGAGGCCTTAAAGCAGGGAGCTCAGAATTAAAATAAAGAACAGCCAGCGGTGCTGCAAAGAATACAGTAGATGGCAGAAAGTGTCTACTGAAGCACAATTCAGCCAAAGAACTCTCTCAGCTGCTAAAATCCCAACAGAACAGCTACAGAAACAACCTCCACATTATTATTTATGCCATTATCACTTAGGTCATAACACACAGAATAAAACCAGATAAAATATTCTGTAGCCATCTTCCAAAAGGAAACAAGTATTTGTCTTATGAAGACAGCAAAGCTACTGCTATTAGTGAAAAAGCCAGATTTCACTGAATTAAAAATTGGGTCACGTAAAGCTGTATGACTATAGGTGAGGGAACCCAAACTAAGCATCCAGGTTAACAATGGCAAAGATAAAAGCGTGGGAAACCAAGATTCCCCAGCTAACAATGGTAATTCTGAAGTTGTAGAATCTTACCAAATGAAAATTCAAAGAGGTACTGCACAGTTAAGTGTCTTACTTCTGCTGCTACAACTTGATAGTTTGAAAACAAGTGAGTACACCGAGTATGAAACCATAAAAAAAAAATAAAATTAAAAAATATTTTTTGAAATATTTTAAAAAATATTTATTAATAAATGTTTTAAAAAATATTTTAAAAAATATTTTAAAGTTGTCATTCTGTGATTCTGTGACTTTATTGGTTTCTAAAAAAGACGCAGCTAGCTGTGCCTCCTCATGTGAATGGAACATAAAGTCAGTTAACTAAATGTCTTAACACTACCACATTTATGTACTTGGTAAGTATTTTTTTATAAAATCAAGCAAGACAATCTATACAACTACAGAATAACTCACTCTAGCTGTGCATGTTCATACAAGCATACAGTTTTAGATGCCAGTATTGTTAAATTAATCCAACACGGCATTTACTTTTTATGCATTAAGACACAAGAGGAGTATTTGGAAGAACAACATCCTATGGAGATAACAAAATGCAGTTTCGACTGAAATAATTTAAAAGCTCATTAATTTAAAAAAAAAGTTATGTAAACTGACAAAACTTTCTGCTATATATGTTAATTCATTTTTCCCCTTTATTACAGAAAGGTCATTTAGTAAAATTACAAAAAAACAGATTTTACTACAATTTTATGGGAAAAGTTATCAACTACATTTTCACATCCATGTACGTGATTCCTCAGGCAAGTGCTGCAAGCTTTTATTCTTCTGATCAGAAATTATTCCAAAGAAACATTGAAATATGCAATTGCAAAAGCATCTATTTCTATGCTTAGAATTCTGTATTTTCAGTAAAAGTAGCCATGATTTTTGAAACACAACCAACAACAACAAAAAAAGCCCCCACAGTTCTTCACAGAAAGAGACCACAACTTGGAACACTGAACTGGATTCTAGATGAGGGAACACAAACCAAGAAATACCACAGGAATTTAAACCCAATTTGGATACTGAGGCACCTAGTTTCATGTTACACTTTAATAGTAACTGTTTAAATTCCCAGAATCTAATTTTGAAGTTACATTACAAAATAAAATATTTAAGCAATATTTAGTTATGTACATTCTGCTCCAAAAATGGACTGTGGAAATTCTTTACATTTCTCTTAGAAATACATACAAACCACAGCACAGGTCAACAATCCACTGGAAATTAATAAACACAAGTCGGCTTAAAGGAAAAATACCTGTGGAAAGTTTTAATCTATTACTGCTTCAGTAACAGCATTTCAGTGTCTCTTCAGACTACTTTAAGGAGTTTGTTCTCCTGGCCCTGATACACCATCCCAGTTTACCTTGCATGTTGGATGATTACTCATTAGAGCACATCTCCCACAGAAAAAGATTACAAATATTAAGTACAGGAAATTAGAAGTTCAGAAAACTATTAATACAGGAGAATCCAGGCGGGTGGACATTGCGTAAATAATCTAAAATGGAGGAAAAAGTAAAATTGACTGTACCCCTCTGATACCTTACCATACACTTCTTATGGAAAACTTTACATAGCTTACCCTTCATATTACTTCAAAACACACCACTTAGATCACTACTTAAATAATAACACAGGTAACATAACTAGTTTGTTAGACTGTAGGAACAACTAGTTTAAAGCTCTTTTACCAGTCTAGACAACACGTAGGTTCATTTGAATGGGAGTTCACATTAAGTGCTGCAAGAAAGCAATTACATTCAGAGAAATGGCTGTCAACCTCCATTCCACATTTATCATCAATATACACCAATAATAATAAATTTGGGTGAGAATAGCATAACAAAAATTCTCTTACATAGCCCCAAAGTGCAAATCAATCATTTGTTAAGGAAAAAAAAAAAAGTATAAATGCAGTAGTTTTTCCTACAGGCAGCTGAATTTCACATTAAGTAGAAATTGTTTAGTTTTGGTTGTGTTTTATTTTGTCACACAAAATGAAGAAACTACAACTGCTGATCCCACAGAAATCTGCTTAGATCACACAGTTTTCCTGTTGAACAGAAGCAATAGTTCCCTGCTTTGACTCAAATGCTTGTGGAAGCACAAATTCATTAATCTTTGCATTGTGCACACATCCATTTTGGGAATCTTTATAGTGTTCTGCTTCCTCTCTCCCCCAACCAGTTCAGCTGGGAAATTATTCAGAAGTTACTTTAAAGCTGTTCTTAAGTTACTTGATGACAAAAAAAATAAGGCTGCTGCAATAAAGTGAGCTTTCAGGCAAATGCACTGGAAGTTTCTTCAGTTGTTTAGAGACGGACCAAACTAAAGCTGCACGAAAGTCAGTGTTTATGAACCAGGGCATGAAGAAGAGATCCCAACTGCCTGAATCAAAGCAGTTTCAGTGACATAGGCAGCCACTGAAGTCTGGGGATGAGAACTGAACATAATCTATTACTCTTTGTTTTGTCTGAAATACCATGTACGCCAGTCACCAAGTATCTCTCAGAATTCTAAACACCAGAAGAACAGATGAAAAAAAATGGATAGGTATTTAAAACTCTGATGCCTAAATTCTCCTATATACATATATAAAATTAACTTACATTATAATTATATCAAACTGCATAGCATTACAAAAGAAGGCAACTTGAATGGCTGAAATTAAAAAAATTGAGTGTTACCAACGCTATTATTACCATTCTGGAACTTATAGTATCTGACTGTTGCTATAACAGCTATGTAACAGCTATAGCCCAGTCTGCTGTAATTCCCGAGAACGCAGGAATTATTCGTTTGGACAAGCTGCTGCATGCGGTGCTTTCACGTCCTCCTAGCAGGTTTTGCTGTCAACTGCTTCTCTCTTTCAAGTTCCTTCTCACGTTGCTGTTCTTGTTCTAGCTCTTCCTTCTGTCTCTTTTGTTGTAGCTTAAGTGCTCTTTTCTAAACAGAAAAGGTAAGAAAAAAATTGTGAGTTTTGTAGCTGTATTTAAGTTGGAGCTACAAATAAAATCCCTGTTTATTTTTTCTTCCTCCCTCCCACTTCCATGTTACCATTCAGAAATGGCAAGTCCGTGACCTACAGAGGGAAAATACAAACTGGATTCCCTCCAGTCTCACTAAAAGTTACCCTTTGTGTACACCAGACAAGGTGCAATTTATTGCCTTGAAGAGAAAATCCTTTTGTTGAACACACTGAAGGACTAATCTTGCCAGAATGTCATCAGAGACTGCTGTACAGCATGAAGTCAGCGAACTTATGCCACTTAATATTACATTAAATAGAAATTCTTACATTTATGACAAACCAGTTTTCATTAAAAAGGCACAAAAACAAACAACAAAGAGAACTATCTGGAATGGGGTGGCTTAAGCAACAGCACAAAGCACGATTCTTACACCACCTAAACATGACAATGACACTGAGATTTACTGGTAGTTCAGGTGCGTAAGTTGCTTGAACACAGGTAGGACGGAGTAAGTGAAAGTTTAAAAACATACACAGTTTGGTGCTACTGAAAACATTAACTTAAGGAAAGAACTGCAGATTCTCTTTCAATCAGAACTTGCAGCATGCTTTCAAAATAAAAGTTAGACATTTAATTATGTATTCTTGACTCCTATGTCGGAAAGTAAAAATATTCATCCCACTCACTTTTAACTTTGACGTCTTCTCGTGGAGCATCATCATTTCATTTCTAATATTCACTAACTTGTTATGATAGCGTTTAGCTTCTGAAAACTTAAAAAACATCATAGTCACTGCTTTAACTGTTAAGTGGAATAGGTGTTTTATAAAGCTACACAGTAAAACAGCAATCAAAACACAGTGACTATCAGAAGAGTTTGATAATGGGTTAAATATGTTCAAGTTTATATATAAAGTTTACATACTGCATGTATTAATATAGAAAACCACCATATATCAAGAGGTACACCCAGTAATCTACTGAATTAAGATTCATTAAACAGAATAGTATTACCATTTTATGCACCATATAGCAGTGTTTCATGCACCCTTCCTGCTACTCTGGAGAGGTGCACAGAGCTCATCATGTTGGAGCCTCAGTCCTGCTGAAAAATGCTGAAAAACGGCATACATTTGCTTTGGCTACGGGTTTTGAACAACTAGACTTAGCACCACTGGCTGACTGAGCCTGCTCTTCCTTCCCAGTGCCCTTCCTATTTCAGGGAAATATGCTGGTTCTGCACCCTCTTCAGCCTCAATTTGTCCCAAATATCTGAACTGCTTGGTTCTCTTCCTGTAGGTCATTAAAAACATAGAAAATACACAAGTTGCTACTAATGCTT